GTGGGCCACAGTGGGCCCCAGCTTTGAGCGCAGGAGCAGAAGCAGGCTGGATCAGACGAGGGAGAAAAAGTGAAGAGGCAAAAGAGCACAGAATCCTGTATGCTCTGTGGTTTTGTTCTGCGCTCACAGAGGGGGGGTGGTGGTTGGTCACACCTCTGTGACTTCCATGTGGCTGCTTTGGCTGAAAAAGGGGGGGCTTCTGAAGTCCCCCAGCTGTTATTCACCAAAGCTGCGTTTTCTTCTCTGGTCATCCTATCAGGATGAAATATGGACACTGGTTCCCAAAAAGTATGATCATGGCATATGGCATAACACCAACATAAACAGATCCATGTGATTCTGGATTATAGAATCTATTTTCAAGATTATTAAACTCAGAAACACTTGTTTATGATTGTTTAAATCAGTTTCATGTCTGTGCGGCTTCCAAAGTTTTTAATGAGCTGAGTTTAACTCAAATGAAAATATAGAAGAAATATAAAAATAAAATAAAATAACCTGATTTATTGTAGAGAGTTTCTAAGATCAATAATAGAACAGACAACTATTTATATTTATCTCCTTTATTAAGTAAAAACTTAAAGGTGTTCTGAACAATTCCCAAAACTTTTTATGAGATTATATTTTAAATTAAATCAGTGTTTGTTTTCTTGACATTAGTACAAAAAAATACTTAATGTATTTTAGGATTAGATATTAGATTTTTTTCTATTTTCGGAGAAGTTATTTAGTAGAAAATTATATTGTGACAAACTTTAATTAAACCAAATTCAATTTATTTAAATGCCTCTAAAATGGGTTAAATGTTGTAATTAAAAAGTAATAAAGGAGTCAAGAAAATAATAAAAAAATAAAAAATAAAAATCTCATTGCTCAGAGGTTGCTAACAAAACAAATAATGACTTTACATTTTTATTCAAAATCAAATAGAATTAAATTGAATCATTAAACCTGTAATTTATATTTAACAATCATTTTCCAATATGGAAAAAAATCTAAAGTATTTTTCCAGACACATTCAATCAAATTAACAGATTTTGATGTCAGATGTTTCAGCATCAGTAGATTTTCCAACATAGAAATAAGGAAAGAGTTTCTCAGTGAAAGTGTCTCTGTGAGTGTAGATGTTAGACATGTCTTCAGGGTCGTAGAAGGACACCTCCCCCCTGTCATAGTCCAGCTGGACTCTGATCCTCTGGAGACTCTTATTCACTTTGAGAATCTGACTAAAACCATTAGTGTATTTTCCATCACAATGCCACAAACACCAGATTCCATATTCTGGTGAAGCCTTTCTCTTTCCCTTCCTGTCAACAGACTCTTTAACCAAACCAACAGTCCATCTAGGATGATCTCCAACCTCCACCTCCCAGCTGTGTTTCCCTGAGCTGAAGCCCTCAGAACCAAAAACATTTTTGTATCTAGTGTTTCTCTCTGGATTATTAGGAAGCTGCTGCTCTGTGTCTCCTCTTCTCACACTGGTTAGATCATCAGACAGATGCAGCGATACATCAGCAGTGTTTGGGTCCAGAATGACAGGACTGAAGTGGACCTTGTCCTTCATCTTCTCCCAGACTCTGAAGGACAGGTTGCCCAGGTGTTTGGCCACATCTATCAGAGCTCCTGAGACCAGCTGTGGATCTGACAGTGAGCTC